TAGAATTAAGGCAGTTCTGAAGGCGAAAGGGGGTCAAACACCGTATTAGTATGGTGTTCCTAATAATCCTTTAGGTGAGTGTATACTAACACTGTAGGTAACTCTGTAGCATGAGCAGATCTTGATGTATCATGGTTAAGGGTGGGGGCTGAGCTGGGAAGAGAAACAGAATACAGGAATAGTTACAGTAGCTAGCAGAGTTTCTTAAAACAGTTTGGCAAGATTTCTGTTTTATCCCGCAGGCGCATTGGCAATTCCAGAGGGCTAAACGTTATCTAGTCAAACAACAAAAGAAATTCTGCTTTGTGATACAGACGATCTATTGTATTTTCTAGATTCTGATTGACAGAATCAATGACCAATAAAGACCAATACTTGACCAATAAAGAGCTGAGGACCTCTTTCCTAGTTCCAAGTAAACAGTGTTACACTGTCTATGTAGCTTCACTGAAGGCGTAATGGGGCTTCTTCAATAAGAATGCTTATATGTTGCAAACGGAATATCGCAGAAAGAACATTTCAACAGAGATTTATTCCTGAGACTCTAGAGAATCCAGCAATACCCCCCACTGGTTAAGACCTAATTATCCTTTGACAATCGCTCTAGATTGACACTCCATCATATGTCTAGGTATGTTTTTAAGGGTTTCAGAGCCAAAATCCACACTGAAGCTAAATTCATACAACAAAAGTGAGAGGTTAGCAGTTTTCATTGGCTCCTGCAATTTTTTTTGTGGTTTATTGGTTTAGAGTTATCAAAGCTAACTTTCTGGTTAGCTGTACCCACCACTATTCCTCGGGAAATCTCCTTTATTCAATTACTTACTGTTGTGTTGTCTTACTTTTGAGAGAATGGATGTTATAGGAAGGAGTTCTTGTATTTGTTGATTATGTGTAATGTCATACCTTGTTGGACAACTGAACTTATTACAATAAGTGAAAATGTTGAGGCTTGGTTTTTATCTTTGTTGTGTTTAGGTAAATTCAAAACAAATGATGCAAGATTCAATTTTAAATTTAAATGCTTTGCCTGGAAATCAACTTAAATATATATTACCTGAGAAATACTTAGAAAGTAATTAAATGCAATTAGGAAGTGTAAGAAACCTGAACTTGAATTATTTAGTATTATTAGCTTAAACAATTCAATTAATTCAGGGACACAGTAATTAATTCAAATAAGATCTTTTGACGTGCTCAATAAATCGTTAAGCAACTTGAAAAACTGAGTTTCAAAACAAATCATTTGAGGCAATGAATTTCCTCAGTTATTTTGAGTAAACTCAGCAATTTCTGCAGTGCAGACGTGGAATGACATCAATGCTGGTTTAAATTTATTTTCTCACTCTAGTGATGGCATAACACACTGTGAATACTGCAAGCAAGAATTTAAAGACCCAGCTGAATTACAGTGTGGACACATTTTCTGCAAGTCTTGTCTGGAAGAAGTAAATGCTAAAAAGTGTCTCAAATGTCAAAAAGACATAACAGAGCTCAACTCATGTGACCTTGGGAAACGGTGTGTATAAATTATTGTTGCGTTGGTTTATTTTCTTGCCGTGATTGTTTGTGATGGAAACCTGACTAATATAAAACTAAAATGTGTTATTTTTGAAACACTAGTTATTTGGTAGCTGCTACATATCAAACATGCATTTTTATTACTGAAAATAATACAAAAAGGTTCTTATGAACTTTTATTATGAACACAATATTGCCTTTTTCCTTCCAGGGAGACCATTGGAAAACTCAGCAGATTCAGAAGGAAGTGCAACTCTTTTTTTGTGGAATTTCTCTTGAAGTGCTGCGTTAACAGCAAACATAAAATGCCTGATCAAATTATTAACATGCTACTGGAATTTGTTAAAAGGAACACTTCAACACAACAAGGTACATGCACAGTGTTACATTTTTCTTTAAATTTTATGATCTATATCTCCCTTTAATTGACGTTTTACTATCACCCAATCCAAAAACAATAACTTTCTTATATAACATTGATCTCTTTTTACAAATTTTTAATTTAACATGCTAATACTTTATATTTTATATAAAAATACTGTGCAAAAATCATGGGCAGTGAAAAAAATGATGTTTAAATGATCTTCATGCTGCTGTAAAATGATAACATGCCTGTCAAAGTCTGATAGCTTAGCCGTTTCAAACCCTCTCCTAATATCAGCCAAGGATTTGCAGTAACCATCTAATACACCCATTTATTTTTTGACCCAACCACTAGCATATCATGTTTGGCTAATCGATACCTCATTGAGTTATTTAACTAACTAACTGCTGGAACTGATGGTGAAATTTAATAAATACGCGGAATAGCCATGGTGTCCCTGAGGAGAGGTTTGGGAACCAAAGTGGAGTTTTTCTAGCCATTAATAACTTGATGGAGAACAATAAAAATTATTGTTTCTTTTCATTGTGTTACTGTTCTAATGTTAAAACTGCACTTTGTTCTGAGAAAATATACACTTACCACTCAGATAAACAGCTTAAACATTTCTTTTGACTGCCTAAGACTTTTGCATAGTACTGTAACTGTATCATAAGGTTGAAATTCACTATATGGACAAAAGTATTGGGACACACCTCTTAATCACTGAATTCTGGTGTGTCATTCAGACCCATTACCAGGGTGTAAAAAACATTTATATATTATTAGGCTTAATGTTTAGACACCCAGGCTTGATATTTTAAAAACCACCGTGATTTTTGTCTGATTGTATGCCTTGAATATTATCATGTACCACATTGTATTGTTAGTTATCCTTCTGGGTCCTTTGGGTTTTATGGGTTAAATGGTATAGGCTAATTGGCCCCTTGCACTGTACTATACTAACACTGTAGGTATGTAACTCTGTAGCATGAGCAAATCTTGATGTATCATGGGTGAGGGTGGGGGCTGAGCTGGGAAGAGAGACAGAATACAGGAATAGATAGCTTGCAGAGGTTTCTTCAATAAAAACACATATATTGCAAATGGAATATCGCAAAAAGAATATTTTAACATTATTCCAGAGACTCTAGAAAATCCAACAATATCCCATTGGTTAAGACCTAATAATCCTCTGACAATCGCTCTAGATTGACACTCCATAACTAGATTGACACTCCTATAAAATGAAGCACCTAGCCATGCAGTCAGGCTTAGAAACATCTGTGAAAGAATGGGTCATTCTGAAGAGCTCAGTGAATTCGATCATGGTACTGTCACAGGATGCCACTATTGCAATAAGTCAGTTCATGAAATTCTTTCTGTTGGCAAACCATTTTCTCTAGGCGTATGTAGGGATAAATCACATCACTTTGTATGGAGGAAAATGATTTACAGTGCTCACATCGGTTCCCCGTAAACTGGAAAGAGAGAGTTCTTTATTGGGCAAGTGCATTTATACAAACAGGTATGTAGTACGCATGATGTATTAGATCACATACGTTAACACTTTCCCTGCAAGATATTCAATGGTCAGTTGTAAGTGGTATTATTGCAAAAGGGAAGCATTAAGGAGCAAAGCATTTATGAACAAAGCATTTAGGATTTAGCCACAAAGTGCCAGACCACGTAAAGTAACAGAGCGGGCTCATGGACTGCTGAGGTGCATAGTGAATGAAAGTTGACAGAATAAATGCAGAGTTCCCAACTTCCTCTGGCATTAACCCCGGCACCAAAACTGCAGCAGGAGCTTAATGGAATGGGCTTCCATGGCTGAGGAGCTGCATGCAAGCCTTACATCACAAGTGCAATGCGAAGCGAAGAATGGAGCACACTGGCACTGTACTCTGTAGCACTGTGACTGTGTTCTGTGGAGTGATGAATCATGCTTCTCTGTCTGGCAGTGTGGTGGATGTGTCTGGGTTTGGCGGATGCCAGGAGATCATTACCTGCCTGACTTCACTGTGCTAACTGTAAAGTTTTTTGGAGGAGGGATAATGGTATGGGGCTGTTTTTCGGGGGTTGGGCTAGGCCCCCTAGCTCTAGCGAAGGGAACTCTTAATGCTCCAGCATACCAAGACATTTTGGACAATTCTATGGGGGAAAGCCCTTTTCTGTTCCAGCATGACTGTGTCCCAGTGCACAAAGCACGGCCCATAAAAGCATGGTTGTGTGAGTCCAGTATAGAAGAACTTGACTGGCCCGCATAGAGTCCTTCAACCCCATCAAACTAGGCCTTTGGATGGTCTACTTTTCAAATATATATAGGGAGAAACTAAATACATTTTTACAGCTTCGTGTTACACATAGAAAGAACAAGAGTGACTGACTTAAGCGTCTGCGTCTCGAAGCGGCTCTGATCGCCTTCCCACTTGCAAATCGCGCTATTCACTTGATAATAACATGATAATCCGACAGTTGGTACTGGGTAAAGAAATATGTGAATATGCCCATTGTGACTCAAATAATCACATGTCTGGGTAGTGTTTACACTGATCGGCTACAACATGGCACACGGATACGTCTCTGCCGCTGAAGCTTTGCGCCAGCGTTGCCACTTTCAGCAGCAGGTCTCATACCTGTGTTCATGTCAGCGTTCATTCGCATGCGAATGCATTTGAATACATGGTAATGTGGCTATTTAGAATGTGAAAAGCGATCTTATGGTGAGAGCGGCACTACACACCCCCTATGCAGGCAAAACAAAGTAAGGTGACATGGTTTACTTTTTTCCCTATTTAACCTAATTTTAAAAACTTTAATACTTCTGACAGTGGGCGTTTTGAAAAGAAGACAGATTACGAATTTAGTCAGTGTTTTTTTTCATGATTTTACATAAATATTTCAGCGAGATATAAACTGAAATACATTAAAAAGATATGCGGTCAACGATGCCCTCGTCCCCAGAGCGTTAATAATAGTGAATAATTTTATTTCCGTTAACTCTGCATAGTCACTGCATCATATTTATCGCTTTCTATATTTATATAGTCACAGTTTTTCATTTTTCATTCCATCTACCAATAAACTGTGAAAGGGATTTTATTGTTGCTACTTTTCTTGCGTTTCAAACTGCCTTTCCAAAGTGATGGGTGTGGGGTGCAGTGACATTCCAGACTGATGGGCCATTGACAGTATGCAAACTACTACAGGTGTGAAGACACCTATCTCATCAATATTCATTGTGAAGGCCACTGACTTTGAGAAAAAAGTGTCACTCTAAAGTTCTAACACTTTAGTAATCAAACCACATACAATTTCAGAATGTCACTTTCACCTATGTGTAGCCAATAATAACATTCTAAGAGATCTCAGATTATTGGTGCTGAGTTTGTGCTCAATAAAAGGAGATGCAACATTTTGGGATAAATGTTTTTTAGATATGTGAAATATTTTAAAATGTCAAGGCATGTCAGACTACCCCAAAGGTGGCTGAGAGGCCTCAGACTCCTGTGGGTTAAATATATGAGCGTACTGACTAGAATTAAACATTTATCATATGGATGGATGGATGGATGGATGGATGGATGATTTTTTTCAGTTCACCAGTTCCATTATTTGGTTGTGTGTTTATTTGGTCTAGTCAAAGTTTGCAGAAGGACGACCGAACTGTCACCATTTCACGAGTGTATGGAGCCAAGCCCTGCTGTACAGTCACTGGTGCTGAAAATCCTTCTGAGATGCGGGTAAATCTTTATAAATCAAACACACAGCACAGTACATTTACACTTTTCTTTTATGTTGTTTACCCCTTAATACAATTGAAAAGAATAAGTGAGAGACCAATATGCTAATTAATTTCTTGATTTTAATATTTTTGCAATGTTATTCATTCGTTATAGACTGGACCAAATGAAGCCTCACTTACAGCGGTTTATCGAAGAGGCCGTGAAATCAAATGAAAAAAATATTGACGAATTCTACTTCATGGTTGTTCGAAGCACAGAGGTCAGTAACCCTTTAAGTGTACCTTTAGAGAGGGCTGGTAAACACGCAATGTGTAACTTAAAGAGGATTGTCAAGTGCAGCTACTGGAATGCTTTTATTATCATGATCTGATTGTTATCTCTACAATTTTGGTCATAAATTTGACACTTAACAGGCTGATTGAGGTTCCAAAGTTTTAAGCCTACTTAATTATATATAATAACAACATCTCATACTGAAATCTCAGTCAATCCAAAGAGTCACATCCATTCATCTGTGGATGTTACATCGTGGCATGATTGATAGTCTACTAGGAGGCTTTTAGGCCAAAAGGAAATTTATTATGAACACAGCTGAAATACTCCAAAAACAAAGTGTCCACAAGCAGTCTAAACAAAGGCAGGTAGGCAACACTAGAACTAGCTAACACTTAAACTGAACATGAGGAAATACAGAAGAATGAGAGAGACTTGGAATAGGTTTAACAACAGGGATCATCCAACAGAAACACAGGCAAGAACCTTCAGGTAAAGCATTCACATTCAAACACACAATAGCTGACTGAGGAACAGGGCATGGCCAAGTTCATATATCCACAGATAAACAGATCTTAAGAAGGGGGAGGGGTGGTTCATTAACAATAAACCAAACATTAGGGAATCAAACAGGACATACAGGGATCACAGAACATAGCTATAGAACTGGACATAGGCAAGGATAACCAGAAAGAAGGACATTAACAGCAAGGACCAATACTAGAATACGGAAACACAAGAATCGTAATTAACATGGGTTCACAAAATTCAAAAATGTCCAAACTCACGGCGGTGTGGGACACATGGTTAGTAGCTGCACCCTCAGCCCCTGATGCCACATTGCAGCCCAGATAGCAAGGCAAACAGTGAGGACCAAAACTGGAGTCAACTAAGAGGTACACAGGGAACAGATTGGGACGACCAGCGATGCCCGCTGGCCAAACAGGGAAATGACAGAACGAGAAAAGGCAGAGCCTGTGGGTTTGATCCCTGCCCTGACTCTCTTTCAGCATTCATCTATAATTTCTCCCACAGAGCAAAGGCATGTGGTTTAAGTTGGTGGCTCTAAATGTGGATCCAGGGTGTCACATGCATGCCTCCTACCCTGTACTTTTTGGGATAACTGCCAGGTTCACTACAATACAATTGTACCAATACATTTATATTTCATTTTATTTAGCAGATGTTTTTTTTTCCAAAAGATGCACCAGCGAGGCATTAATAAACCATAGATGGAAAAATTAATGGATGTTAATTAACACCTGGATTACTATCATTAATGAGAACTAAAACTATTTAAAAAACACTTTTGTAAACTGAAATAAAATAAAATTAAAAAATTAAAAACTAAACAAAAACTATAACTTTTCCTTCCAAACACCTTTTTAATACATTTATTGTTTAGTACTTTGTGCACTTTGGGTTCATATAGGATTCTCTAATGATCAAATATGTGAAATACATACGTACAAGTGTAAATAGCCATTGTTGTATCATTGTTGTTGTTGTTAATGGATGCATTTCCCTATTGTCACGCGTGTGTTTGCCCCTGTCAATTTTCAGTCTATCCCTAAAAATATAAAAGCTAAATAGAAATTATCTTTAAAATGAAACAGATAAATCCATAGTAACACTAAAATTGATTTCTAATGAGAACTAAACATATATAAAAATATTAACTATATAAAAAAATCAGAAGTATAATAACTCTGGTTAAGACTCAATGAACAAACGATCATATGTCTGTGTTTGCATGTCACCCTTACATTTCGGTATTTCCTTTCTTAATTAATGCTTATTGTTTTATAGGATCAGATTTACACCTCAGAATCCCATGAATCTCTGATAACGAAGGCCACAGAAAGCCTTTGTTTTGACCAGGATGTATTTCAGCGCAACACTTCAGAGGTGACATATGAAGATCTGCACACCATAGCCAAAATAAGGTTTGGCATCACAGTAGCGGCAAGTGTAATTGAAAGTTTGGTGCTGAAAAAAGGTAAATTTGACTTTTTACCTTTATTGCATATTATTTAAAGTATATGTCCTCAAGTGGCATACCTGATTTTAGTGTTTTCACCTGTTTATTTATTGTATATTAATTATAAAAATTGCACATTACTTAACATACATTGCTCATTAAGTGATAAAGAATAATCTATATTTTGTTCAATTCAGTTAATGTCACATAGGTATATATCAGTATTTAAAAGGTCTCTGCGGACTGGTGCTGCTTATCTGACGATTATTAAAAATTAATATTTGGGGGGATCATGTGATGCACCAACCTGAGCAGACATAGAGTTTTTGTCTCTTCACCAATTTATTGTACATATAACTTTTTAACACACTTTGTCAGATAGGTCCACAAAAATTTGTACTAATGGCAAAACAGAAAAGCATGTTAGAGATTCCTGATACCGCCTGCCGTCACAGTGCACAGCCACGCATTGTGATGTGTTTAAAGCCTTTATGGTTTGGGATGGTTGTACATTCAATGCTTCACATGTGTAAGAATTTCAACAGAATCTTACAGACTTGTATTGTTCACGAGTCACTATCAAGGAATCGGAATCCACATCAAAAAATAACGAGTTGCCTCAGGTACTGCCAAGTCCAACACTGTGATTTTTTAATAGTCTGCAGTGAATATTGGAGAGTATGTACAGTAGTACAAAGTGCATCTTAGGGTATTTCTATTTTGGTATTTATGTTTGCAATCCGGGGGGAGGGGGGAGTTTAGTTTTTCTTTGTTTAAGTTTTATTGATCCCCATAGCTGTGCTTTAGGTTAAGGTGCCAAGTTAGATTTTGGTTTTAATCTTTTAAGCTTCTCCTTAATGTTCGTACTCTTGTGAGTCCGAGCTTTTTGTTCTGTTCATGCTTGGAACACATCCCTAAGTTAATCAGTGTTTGTTTAACACTTGTAGCTGCAGTCTGGTCCATCTTATAGGATCATATGCAGCACATATATAACACAACCTCTTGTCAATGAATATTAAGATAAACACATGGAATATGAGGAGCTCTAACAGTGTGGTGAAGGGAAAATGTGTCCTGAACAGTCTTTAAAAAGATAAGATTCAAATAGCCTTTCTGCAGGAAACACAATTGAATGATCAGGCACACCAAAAGTTTTGCAGGGAATGAGATGGGCGGCTTTTCTTTTCATCACATTCACCAAATAAAAGGGGAGTGATTATCCTGACAAAAATCTACCATTTATGGTCACAGCATCTTGTAAATTCTGAAGGGAGATACTAACATCCTAGTTAAAGACTTGTTACATGGTGAGAACATTCTGCTGGGAAATGTTCCTAATGTCCAAGATGTAGCCTTTTACGCATTAAAAAAGTATTTCATTGCTATTTTAAGGGTGCATGAAAACAATGCTAAGGCAAATGTTAAAGGATGACAAATCTGAGTTAAACTATCTTCCAGGAAAAATGCCCCATTGCATATATTTGAAACAGAACCAATCAAAACTCACACCCACCATAGTCACTATACTGTTTTAAACCATAGGCATATATCAGCTCAAGCATCAAAAAAGACTTGAATTCATAACGCTAAAATGTGATACAGACTAATATCCATGACATACCATCCTAGAACATGGTGTTTTCTAAAATTTAAGCCCAATAAAAATCTTAATATTAAATGAGCAAAATAATTTGATTTGTTCTTCTATCCCAAGGTGTGGTCTAAAAGCTATAAGGCCACCACCCATTATATCTGCTTTAGCCACTAGGGGAGCTCTCACCTTCTCTGAGCCCTGCTAAATAATTATGTTATGCATTCTAACAAGCTTTATTATCTGTGTCAATAAGCACTGCTGTTACACTAACACTCCTGCTGAGAGGCTAGTTTGATTGCCAGTCTTGGCCTTGTCATTAGGAACACATGACAATTTGCACAGTGCTGTTTCACAGTGGATTCTCACTGGTTTTCCCCAAGAGTGGTATCATACATTTTAAGTTTCATACCACAGGCAATTGCGAGAGAGCTCAATTGGCTTACTCTTGTACTGGTATAAAGAAACTATTTTATATATTAAGAAATGAAACTAATAATTAAATATTAAAATCATCTCTCTAACTGAATCCCAACTTTAATGCACAAGAAAGGTAATAGTAAGAAGATAGAAACATGTGTTCGGCTTACAAGAACACAGTGGGCTGGTCTTCAGAAAAATTAAAGCTAATCATATAAAGTTTATATAACAAGCGACAAGGCCTTGTGGGTCATAGTCTTTCTTATGATGGTGGGGTAATCAAACACAGTAGGCTGGCTGCCCCAGACATAAGCCACCCATTATTTACCTGGTTGCACCTATATGGGCTTGGAATCTGGGAAGAGGTGGAGTTTCAGTGATCTAACACTCATGGACGGATTATGGGTTGTGTGGGCCCCTGGGCAAAACGTTCGCGAGGGCCCCCCCCCCACCACCACCGCCAGCACCCCCCGCCAGCGTTGCAAATTGTTTTGGGCTAGGGGCCCCACGGGCCCCCTGCACCCCAAGGGCCCCTGGGCAGCGGCCCCGCTGGCCCGGTCCGTAATCCGTCCCTGCTAACACTCCATGTTGTCAACTGAACACTATAAGAGCTAGGGCTGGGCGATATCATATCGATATTATATCGCGCATGCGCAATAATCACTAGGGCTTCAGATGACAGGCGCAACATGCATAGCTGAACAAAATTGTATATCTCCAGGCTCAATGTGCAGACATAAAAAGACAAGAGCACTTAGACAACATATGGCGATTACAACAAAATTCAACTTTAAGTAAGACTATGTAAGACAGCATAAGGTGGCATGGGACAGACACAAAATATACAAAACAATATATACAGAAATGTAGGACCAGTCAGTGTTGAATAAGTTGAAAAGAAAAATATTGCACATTGTTGCACACAATGCATAGTGGTTGTATTATTGCACTATATACATACAGTTTTCACAGTGATTATATTATTGCACTATATAAATAAAATGTAAACTTAATACCTGTTGTGGTAATAAAGTGCAAAGTGAGTAAGAGGGAGTCAGGGTTTTCATATGAGCTTATGCACATTAGGTTGTTCTGCAGTGCATACTGTGGTAACGTTTACCAGAGAGCAGAAGTTCAAACAACTCATGTGCCAGGTGCATGGGATCTTTTATGATCTTAATGGATTTGTTTTGGATATGTGATGTGCCGATGATTTTCTCCGCCGTCCTCACCACTCTCTGAAGTGTCTTCTGTTCTGCGACAGTGCAGCTACCGTACCAGACTGAGATGCTGCTGGTCAATATGCTCTCTATAGAATTTCTGTAGAAAGTTGTGAGGAGAGGAGAGGGGAGGTTTGCTCTTTTCAACCTTCGGAGAAAATGAAGTCGCTGTTGTGCCCTCTTCACAAGAGAAGTGGTATTTGTGGTCCATGTCAGGTCGTCCGTGATGTGCACTCCCAGAAACTCAACACTGTTGCCATGGATTGTAAGTGACCTGTGTGGAATGTGATTTTTCCTGAAGTCAAGGGTGATCTCTTTTGTTTTGTTGACATTCAGTGCCAGGTTGTTTTTTGCACACCAGGCAATGACTTGATTAAGTTCCTCCCTGTATGCAGAGTCGTCGTCATTACTGATCAGTCCCACTACTGTTGTGTCGTCTGCGAATTTTATGATGTGGTTCAAGTTGTAATTTGCACAGGTGAATAGCAGGGGGCTTAAAACACAGCCCTTGGGAACTCCAGTGTTCATGATGGTGGTCTCTGAGGTGTTTTTTCCAAGACGTACTGTCTGGGGTTTGTCTGTGAGGAAGTCTAGTAACTAGTTACACATAGGGGTGTCGATACCTAGTGACTCCAGTTTCTTTACCAGGTGTTGCAGGATGACAGTATTGAAGGCAGAACTGAAGTCAGTAAAAAGCATCCTCACATGGTTGTTTTTATTTTCCAGATGGGCCAAAGTCAGATGGAGTGCAGTTGCTATGGCATCATCAGTGGAGCGATTTGAGCGGTATTCAAATTGAAGTTGATACTGTAGGAATCAAGGTTACCCCCAAAATTAATCAGCTTTGCACAGAAAAGATTACAGTAATCCCTTGATAAAGGATTTCATATTACACTTGATTGGGGACAGCCTTGCATGGCTAAGAATGTCTTGGTGTACACTGCTTTGCTGTGTGATGCATAATGATGTGTGGGATGAGATCCTGCAGCTGCATTCTAGAGTTTCAATTTGCAACATATATAAAGAGTCATATATGTTATATATAAATGTAAATAAATAAATAAAATATAATATTTTACATAATATTTATATTTCATGATATATTTACAGCAAGTATAAAGCAGGAACTTCACCAAATTGTCCCAAATGTAAAACTCATGTAGACAGTAGGTTGCTTTGCTTATGGGAATGCAACAGAATTCAGCTATTCTGTAGGACAGTATGCACAAGTATCAGCAAATCCACTTTTATGTCTGCCTGGAAATATCCCTGACTCTCTGAAACAATATGGAGAAGTTATTCATGCTCTTTTAATGCTGGCTAGGAAGGACATAATGGTAAAGTGGGTTGGGGACGAACCCCCCTGTCAGGGTCAGCCTCTGTTGTCCCACTCTGTGTCCCTTCCCCGTTTGGCCAGCAGGCGTTGCTGGTCATCCGGTCCTTCATGTTAGTCTTTGTGGTTTCCCCTGTTCTCTGTTGGCCTCATGGCTCAGCACTTTGAGTGTCCAGTTGTCTGTGTACTCTTCTGTTCTGTGTTTGAATCCCACCTCCTCTGTTTTTTGTATTTTGCTCCCTAGTGTTTCATTTGAGTTTCTCTAGTTCTCGTGTCTGATTTGTAGTTGGTTTTTGTTTTGTTCCTTGTGCCCCTGCTTGTGTCTTTGCCTGTTCTGTAATTCCCTAGTGTTTGTTTCTGTTTCCTTGGTTCGTTCTTAGTTTCCCTGTTTTGTTCCTTTGAGTTTATTAGTTTCACCTGTGCCCTGTTTTCCTGGTCTCTGTTAATTAGTCTCACCTGTCCTGTGTTAGTCTTATTACCCAGTTTGGTTTCTGTATTTAAGTCCCTGCTTCTGTTCTGTTCCTTAGTGGTTTGTTGATTGTTTTTCGTTTTTTGAGGTTAGATCTGTATTATGCTTACCTGCCTAGTTTTTTTTTTTTTTTTTTTAAGTCTTTGTTTATCCCCTTTAGTTTTTGACCCCTCATGGTCCTTTTGGTTTTGTAATGTTCATAGTGAGGGGTGGCATGGTGGTGCAGTGGTTAGCACTGTTGCCTCGCACCTCTGGGACCCGGATTTTAGTCTCCGCCTGGGTTACATGTGTGTGGAGTTTGCATGTTCTCCCCGTGTTGTCGTGGGGTCTCCTTCGGGTACTCTGGTTTCCCCCCACAGTCCAAAGACATGCTGAGGTTAATTGGAGTTGATAAATTGCCCATGGGTGTGCATCTTTGAGTGAATGGTAACAGTGTGTGAGTGTGCCCTGCAATGGGCTGGCCCCCCCATCCAGGGTTGTTCTCTGCCTCATGCCCATTGCTTCCAGGTTAGGCTCCAGACCCCCCACAACCCAATAGGATAAAGCAGATTGGAAAATGAATGAATGTTCATAGTGTTTTCTGTTTTTCTTAATAAACCCAGTTTTTGTGTTCTTGGAGCCGCCAGTGGGTTGTCCACCTTTTTTGTGCCTGCACCATGCCTCGTTCTCGCACCCGAGCCACCCGGATCCATGACACCCACTCTATCTACATGTGGAAATGTCTGATTTCTGAGGTTCAGAATCTGGAAAAAATAGGATATTGTATCATAAGAACATAAGAAATTTACAAATGAGAGGAGGCCATTTGGCCCATCAAGCTCGTTTGGGGAGAACTTAACTAATAGCTCAGAGTTGTTAAAATCTTGTTAAAATCTTATCTAGCTCTGATTTAAAGGAACCCAGAGTTATAGCTTCTGCTACACTAGCAGGAAGACTATTCCATATTCTAACTACACCAATCAACTATCAATGGAAGGACTGATCTTTTTTTTTTGCAGAAATGGAAGAAACCATTGGAGTCTCTAGGAGTCAAATATATGGACTTAGCAAATGACAGTTGTGGTCAGATTCCTGACTTGAGGGCATTATATGAATTGGTTCAGTTCCTCATTTAACCTCACTATGCAGTTTCTCTTATTGTTTAAGTGCTCTGCCAGTTTGATCATTTATGGACAAGACCTATAATATCATGCTGTGTTGTGTGACCTGTGACATATGTTTTGTCTGTTTGTTTAATGGAAACATGAATTAAAAATAAGTATTTTCTTGCTTTAAGATGCAGATTCCCATGGGTTGAACAAAAAAGATCTTCTGCAGATATTGAAGGAAGTCATACCAAAGAATTTATGGATCCAGACGTTTTTGCTTCACAACCTGTACAAACTGATTGGCTCCAAGATTATTGAACTCATTCTTCAGACTGACGACTTCAGATGGATTTTACCGAGTGACTTCCAAGAGAAACAGGTATAAAATACACAGAAAAGCAGATAGCTTTCAATGATATTTCATTTGAACTGCAGACATCATACTTGCTGTGATTCACTTGTGTAGAACACTTAAAGGTGTTTTATTATTTTTAACACAGCTGTTTCTGAGAGCTATGTCTATCACAGCTACACTGGTAAATTAGTTATGGGTCGATTCTCCAATCAAGCACTTCAGTCAAAAAAGATGCTTAAAAGGTTACATGCGTTTTATTTAAGCATATTCTCCTGTCATCAGTGCGGACACACCCACCACACTTAAACCGAAAAAGATAGCAGTAGAAGAAGTGTAATTAATTGATCAAGCAAAACGAAGGGGGTTGTATCCTTGATGATTTTAGCAACAAGGAAAATGTGGAACATGGTCTGTTTCGTTTATATTGTCAACCACATTGAAATCCACAGAACACCTTTTGTTTTGAAAATGATAGCTTGGTGGTTGATTACTATGCCTAGGTTTGGTCATTGTTATGAACATAAGAATCCTTCCACAAAAAAACAAAATGCTACAGAAAAATCCAATGCTTGAATTTTGTGCAGAGCAGTTGATATTATCTAAATATACTAGGTATATTAAAATATTGTAATTTTTGTAATGTATAGCTCTGATTTAATAACAAAAGAAATTTACAAACAAGAGGAGGCTATTCAGCCCAACAAGCTCATATACATTTTATGATTTCTGAACTATGTTCCTCAAATAGGCACAACTAAATGTTATTTACAGTATGTATGTGGTTACTCTTTATGCACAGTCTTATGCAAAAGTTTGGCCACCCCTTGATAACAGATTTTGGTGATTTTGTAATTGAAAAGATGTTAACACAGTCTCCTTAGGAAATGGAAAAAATACACAATATTTTTAGCAAACATTGATGCATAGTTACTTTTTCTGCCATAAATTGAACAAAAATAAAAAATAAGAACATTATTATGGCACTCTGCAAAAGTTTGGGCACCCTACATAATCAGTACTTAGTAACACCTCTGGCAGATATCACAGCTTGCAAACACTTTTTATAGCCCGCTAAAAGTCGTTCAATTCTTGTACTTGGGATTTTCTTCCATTCTTCCTTGCAAAAGGCTTCTAGTTCTGTAATATTCTTTGGTCATCTTGCATGCACAGCTCTTTTAAGATCTACCCACAAATTTTCAATGATGTTTAAATCAGGGGACTGTGATGGCCATTCCAAAACCTTCTCAGCTTGCGTCTCTTGAGGTAGTCCATGGTTGAGGTATGTTTAGTATCATTGTCCTGTTGTAGAAGCCATCCTCTTTTCAGCTTCAGCTTTTTTACAGATGGTGTGATATTTGGATTCCACTAAATACCAGCAAATTCTGGAAGCATTCTTCCCTCCACCCGTGCAATGTTTCCTGTGCCACTGGCTGCAACACAACCCCAAAGTATGATAGATCCACCCCCATGCTTAATAGTTGGCAAGGTGTTCTTTGCATGAAATGCTGCTCCTTTTTTTCTCCAAACATGCCTTTGCTGATTGTGGCCAAAGAGTTCTATTTTAACTTCATCAGTCCACAGCACTTGTTTCCAAAATGCATCAGGCTTCTGTAAATGTTCTGTTGCATACTTCTGATGTTGGATTTTATGATGGGGATGCAGGTAAGGTTTTCTTCTGCTGACTCTTCCATGAAGGTCTTATGGAACGGTGCACCACCACCCCTGAGTCTGCTAAATGTTCCTGCAGTTTTTTTGCAGTCAAATGGGGGTTTTGATTTGTCTTTCTAACCAGCATATGAGCAGTTCTCTCCGAGAATTGTCTTGGTCTTCCAGATCTCATCTTGACCTCTACAGTTCCCCTGAACTGCCATCTCTTAATTACTTTCTCACTGTGGAAACTGCAAGCTGACAACGCTTTGCTATCTTCTTGTAGCCTTCTCCTCCATTGTGGGCATCAATAACTTTCATTTTCAGAGTCTTACACAGCTGCTTAGAGGAACCTATGGTTGTTGAGTGTCCACAAGTGTGTGCACAAGGTTTGAAGAGTCAGTGTATTTGTAAAGCTTTGGAATTGGCACGAGCTGACATTTACTAATGACAGCTGTTGCCATGCATCAGATCTAATGAGCTGATTAAGGTCTGAAACCTTGTAAAAAGAATCTGAGACTTTGGAACTCTTAGGGTGCCCAAACTTTTGCAGAGTGCCACAATAATGTTTTATTTTTTATTTTTGTTCAATTTATGGCATAAAAAGTAACTATGCATCAATGTTTGCTGAAAATATTGCACATTTTTTTTCCATTTCCTAGAGAGACTGTGTTAACATCTTTTCAATTACAAAATCACCAAAATCTGTTCTTTATCGAGGGGTGGCCAAACCTTTGCATAAGACTGTAAGATAGAAATTATTTTTGGAATACAACTGTAATTTGTCATGCATCTATACATAATGAAGAAGAATGACAGGATTTTTAATACTGTGTGTGTTCTGTGATTTGTTTTCTCTTCAGGAGAAATATGCAGTGAAATGTGAAATGCTCATGGTGTATGAAGAAATTAACGATAAGACCTCATTTGCAAATCCTATCTCCAACACAAGAAAGGTAATTCTTTTCTATTTATGAGTATTTTTTAAAGTAAAACTTATATGAGTACTGAATTAAGTATGTTAATAGCAACTTTTTCATTTTAAACTTAACGTTTGATTCAAGAGGCCTTGGAAATTGACAAACTTACGAGTGGAATATTTGAATTAAACTTAATAACTATTTTAAATGCTAATATTGGGGCATACTACACCAATAAAATTAAAGAAGTCTTTTACCTTTTTAAATTTACAGACAAACTGTACCTGAAAAATGTATATAATAGATCCAGGATATTAAAGATTTTCACCTTTGTATAATAGATATTTCTTCAATTATGAAGATACTTTTTACTGTATATATCAGTCAATGAAACATGAATAAACGTGTGGGATGAACACAAGCCCTCCCCCCACCCCTGAATCTGCCAGAGTGTCCCAGCCCCTCTGAGACCCCTGGATGAGCATGACATTTGCCATTAGCAATCAGTAATATGCAGGATGAATCACAAACCCAAATCTCAGAATATGTTACCATTATTTTTAGATGTGTTGCTTTTTTTCCTGTTTAATAATATTTAAATTTTAAAGTAGCCAAGTCAATAAACCTTAAAGTTCTTAAGAACAGCTTGAAGTCCAGAAGGGCAACACTGAGCTTGGTGCAGAGGATAGTTGCTAATTTTTTTAATTAGTACCATAATCTTTATCACCTCCCCCTTCCTTTGTCAGTCAGGGTAGTTTTGTAGCTCCTCTTATTCTCTCTTTTCAGGATATTGATGAAAACCAGGAGATGCTCATTCTGTGCACAACACTGAAGGCAGTTAAACTGCATATTTATGGTGATGATTCACTGGTAAGTTGCTTTTTAACACCATCTATGCTACCGTCACACAAGTAAGCAGTTTGTGCAGATTGGCTGTTTCTGGTCTGCTTAGATACTGTATACTGTTCCATACCCTGGCCATGGTTTCCAAACTGGCCATGGCTAAGATGACCCTTTCTGGTGGGGAGAACTCTGCTACAATTGAATTACTAATGAAAAGTAAAGCAAACCAGAATGTGCTATAATGTGCATGTGAAATAGTGTGAGATTAGCTTATTTGCAACATAGTTGTATTCTTTACAATAATAAATTGTCATTACTGGAAAAACTCGCCAGACTAAAATGCCATTAATACACTCTTTCTCTTACTCATAGATCTCCAGGATTAAAAAGGACCTGGAAACAGACGAGAAATGGAAGGTACCAGCCCAGATCTGTGACAGAATGAGTGAGGACCGTCTGAAAGGGGTGGCACAGGAGCTGTCCCTTCATGCTTCCAGCTTGGCTCTCTTGGTGCTTCATACTGCACTGGTGGCCCACCTGTCCACCAAACCTGAGATGCACCTTCTCAGAGCTCTCTGCTTCCACCCAAGCAGGGCTGAGGTTTGTGCCGCAATGCATGTTTTACTGTTGAATGAATGCATATGTGATGTTTCGTATTCTTTGGCACAAAGTATGGAAAATAAGGCAAAAATTTTGTAGTGGTATCCGCTGTCAGTCCCCCAGACAGATGAGAGAGACAGGGACTGGCAGTTTGAATGGTTAAGAATGTTTTTCATAAAATGGTTAACAACAGCAACCAGGGAAAGGAAATGCATCCACGCACCTGCCAGAACAGAGCGACCCACCCACCTTGGTCTCTAACCAGTGAAGTAGGGTACCCCCCCCAGCCAACAAAACCAGGAACATGAATTTTGTCTGCATGCATTTATATGTGCATATATGTGTACAGGGGGTTACTCAATATTACTCAGTTTTGTGATTCTCTGGGTACCATAGTTTCCTCCAGCAGTCCAAAGGTTTGTGATTAGATGCATTTGTACAAGTAAGTTTCCCTTAGTGTGTGATTACCTATGAACCTGTGATGGACTGGCATCCCATTCCCTGCCTTGGATCCTGTGCTTCCTGGAATAGTATCCAGGCTCACTATAACTGCACAAGTGGTTATGGAATTTGGATGGAGTATTTTAAAATCTATTCATTCTTGAATGAGTCCTGCATTTGCCAAACGTTAGATCTTTAATTTTCATTTCCTAAGCAAATGTTTCTGATTTTGACAGAATTGGTTCCTCCCCACAATGCCTGATCTGGTGCATAATACAGCAGAATGGGAAGAAACAGCAAAAAGTGGAAAAGCTTGGAGTAAGTCAGGTGTTTATATTACTTTGTCACAACATTCTCCAGTATATACTGTACAGTTCATCTTATGACACAAAAAGAAGACAGTTCAGAAGACAGTCAGTTGCTTATGTGGTAATTCATAGGATGTCCTATAAATTGTAAGTGTGACATTAATTAGTTAATTACATAAATTGTATGTTAAATCATGTATAAATGTAAATATTATATATATATTTTTTTGTATACACAAATACAGAATGCAGCTGTGGTGAAATTTTCCTCATTGAAAATGTAGGTGTATCTCCTCCACAGTAAATTTTCTGATATGTATTTGAATTTTCAGTTTTATAATATTCCACATAAGGAGTACTTTCTTTTACTTAGTTTGTCAATATTTTTCAATTTCTTTCAGTGTGGGAGACCGTATGTAGTAGCCAGATGCCCACGCTGTGAGAGTCCTGTTGGTGGGCTTTACCATAAAGCTGAGAAAGGTTTCACAGAGGTTACGTAAGTACGCATAAAAACAGCCCATAAGGAGCTTCTGTACAGATTCAGCAAATTAATGGACTATCCCATCTCCTTGTCTGTGTCTTTACCCAAAATCCAGGGAACAGGATGAAAAGGGACACATCCTAGGAGATCCCAGTAAAAGGAGATCACTGGAGGACTCGGAAAGGAGTTTGTCTGGTGCAGCTTTCAATTTGGCAAGAGCCCTTATACATGCATCCCTGCTGTGGGGGGCCACTGAGGACTCCGACGTGAGTCTTTGGGGGTAACATGCTGTTACATGCAGCACGCAAGTTTGGGTTTGTGCCTTTGTGTTTGCTAATAAATATATATTACTTACATATTAAAAATAGTCTAATATGCTAGCAGTCATAAAGTAATATTTAAACAATATTTATTGTTATTTAGTCATGTGATATTAATATTACACAGTTATAAAGTAATATTCCACAGATGTCATTTACATTTTTATTTATTCATTTATACATGTTCACAATGACATGGCAGTGCGTGTCTGTGTGCGCCCTGTGAGCATCTGACATCCTCCCCAGATCACAGAGACTCTGGATGGATGGATGAATAATGAATGTAATTGTATAAATGTTTGAGGAGGTTGGTCATTTTGTTGATGTTTGTGTATTAGGCGGTTAAAGGCATTGTGAGGAATCCAGGGTGGCATGTTGGGAAGCACCTCTTTGATCACCTCCAGAAGGACATTGATCTGCTTGCTAAAGCCACTGGGAGAAATGCTGAAGAGGCTGAAATGACAATTCACCTCTTCCTGAAGCATATCATGGAGAGCAGTTCTGGTAAATGTGGTTCTGTTTTGCTCCTCTGTTTCACTGTTAGATTAGTCCAGAGACCAATGGAACACCAAGGAAAGTGATGTTTAGCTCAGACCCTGAGTCATGCATGCTTATTTTTGTTCCCCAATCATTTCGTAACAAAATTCATAAACTGTTTTAAAAGTGACTCAATTATAAATTATGAAAAAATGATAGTACCAGACTATTTTATGGGTACAATTTTCTTTTCTAATGATACCTTATTAAATAGCTCAATCATCCAGAACTCTGGTGGAACAAACACAAATATAACCAGTGGTTACGCAGGTTCTCCCCAGTTTCCCAGTTTAAATACAACCACTATAGAGCTGCTGGTACTTAGTACCCAATTCTTTTTTCAGTAGACCATAATGTGTTTCTTCCCTGTAAAGAACCAAGTGAACTCTCAAAATTAAGGTTTCTTCTTTCTAATAATTTTCATGTAGTCATCATGTAATTACATTTCATGTAATATAATTTATTATAGTACTTTAGTTCTGAGTTAATTTATCCAAATATCTTCCAGTTGCTTATCCTAGAGAGGGATGCATTGAGGTTTTGTTGTTTTCTGTGATGATTTTAAAGTATTTTAAAAGGTTATTTATTTATTTGTGTATTTATTCATTTCAGCTGATACTGGAAGCCGTATACTAACCGAAACGAGAGACAAAAGGAGCCAATGGGAAGACAACTTCTGGAAAACAACACAGAAATTCTTTGTGGTACAAATGATTTGAATATACATTGATTACCTGAGTTCATAATCATCTTATGCATTGAGCCTGCAAGTTGGGATTGACCCAGTGTATCCTTGTTGAGCACTCATCAATAGAGATGTCTTTCACCCCAGACCCTCTAGTTTGTCATCTGGCAATTCCCATACCTTAAACCTTGTTCACTTGAGTAGGAATGGCTGACAAGTGACCAAGATCTTGATAGGTGATGATTATCTGAATATCATGTTCTGTAGCCAAATGAATATCTAGTTCTGTCCCTAGCCTGTGTTCCTGATTACTGGTTGAGACCCAAAAAGGTTCTGCCCTAAACTGGAACAGTTCATTATTAAATTGTGAAACATGTCCCCTGAATGTGCTCCAATTCATATATAAGTGTAATAGTAATGTAAGCGGGATGGCATCGTGATGCAGTGGTTAGCACTGTTGCCCCACACCTTTGAGACCTGGGTTCAAGTCTTCACTAGCATTCTGTTAGTATGGTGTTTGCTTGGTCTCTACTCATTTTGTCTTGGGGTTTTCTCCCATTCCTCCCCTCCCCCCAGAGCACAAGAAATTGCTGAGGTTAATAGGAGTTATGAAGTTGTCCATATGTGTGAATGATGTGTGGGTTGCCCCCTGCCTTTCAGCTGTAGGCTGTGGGATAGGCTCCAGACTCTGCACAACACAGCACTGAATAGGTCAATAGAGCAAGCAGTTTTTGAAAAAGGATGGATTAATGAAAGCATGTAAAATGTATATACTCTCACAAAAACAAGTAATATGTATATACTATACAATACATATTTATTTTGTCCTGCTACCAGGTGTGTAAATACATGATCTTTAGTTTCTGTTTATCACTATCTTCCAGGATATTGATGAAAAACAATTTCATCAATGCATTCTCTCAGATGCATTCTCTACATATCTACAAGCATCTAAGCTGGAAGACTACCAAACGTCCAGTGTGTTTACTCGACCTCAAATGTGGAAATTTGAGCAAAAACTCAGCATTCAACTCGTGACTCATCTAGTTGAACAGGACAATGGAAAGGAAAACTACCCCGTCCTCCTGAAACTTCTCAGAAAGGTATATTACTTGTCAAGCATTTTGTAAAGTGAAAAAAAATCCAATTGTAGGAAGTCGTCAAACATAGTTCCATAGATATGTTATTAATATTATCAAAATATTAATAATTAACTGGGAATGGATCACAGTCTATTTATAAGAAAGGTTAAATTTCAATATGCGGTTTAATATTTGTATTTGTACTTCTTTTAATTATTTGCCAATACAATGTATTTTCTTTTTATTTTAGCATGGCCATATACAGAAAATACAATATTTGCCACAGATCCTGAATTTACAACAAAAACTGGTCAGTTTCTTCCAATACAAAGACTTACAAAAATGGAGAGAGGTGTCCATTGAAGAGTTCAGAAAGAGCCTGGATGAAGGTACCTCACATTTTACCATATATAGTATACTATATATATCCACATAGCCAGTAGGTGATTTGTTCATTTTTAATAGGGAGGATGGCCCAATCAGGGCACACCCCTGACTGCACACAACCAATCAACATACACACTGAAGTAAAATATAAAAAGTACATTGTTGCAGGACATCTTAACCATAAATGTGAAATATCTAATTACTTGAGGGTAAAAAACCTGCAAAAATTTGATTTGGTCCCATAATCCCATCCATATTAGATTAAGATGTTCCATCTGGGCACAGGGGACACAGATAAAACATAATAATAATAACAGACACTTTTATTAATCCCTGTGGGGAAATTCTTTTTATGCCTTCCTCAACTTGCTCTTTGTACAGCAAGCTGTCCGCGAAGGGCAGCCACCTGTAGCGGTGCCCAGGGAGCTGGGGATTGAGGGTCTTGCTCAAGGATCTGCAGATGTGCTGAGGCTGGGCTTGAACTGGTGACTTTGTGATTACAGGCACATGGCTTAGCCCACTGACCCACACGCTGCCCCTTGTTATATCACAATATCAATATGAAAGACAGACAGAGTGCATTGTAAATATATAAACATATACTGCAGCAGACAAATGCACATAAAATATATCAATATAATACAAATATGAAGAAAGAAGTTCCTCAAGTAGAGGTAGATAGGTTGTGGAAAGTCTGCAGAATTGGCCTGTGTGTGCTGAAGTTTTTTACTTCTCCGGTAGTACAGACGCTGCTGAGACTTGTATACCAGCTGAGTGGTATTCTGTTTTAGTTTTAGCAGGATAATTGTACTATCCTGCTATTATATATCGTATTGATATTTGCCAAATAGTAGTCAATTAATAAAATTTGTGCGTACTGTAGCTGTCCTTATTCTCTAGGTGTGAGAGTACTGTGTGTATGGCGGTACTGGCGACATCCTCTGTAGACCTGTTAGTCTAATAGCCAGACTGGAGAGGGTCTAGTGTGTCCGGTACAATGTTCTGGATGTGTACCATGAGTAGTTTGTGGAAACACTTCATCACAATCAGATTCAGTGCAGTGGTCTGATAGTCATTAACACAGGTTAGTGCTTTTTTCTTTGGGATCCGGATGATGGTTGTTGCCTTTAAACCGGGGGGAAAGTGGCCAGTGTGAGGGATAGATTGAATATGTCTGCAAAGATGTCAGATAGTACTGAAGACCAAGCTGTGAGCACACAGCCTGGGATTATCTATACCAGCCACTTTCCTGGGGTATATTCTACTGTGAGTCCTGCCCACATCTCTTAATGAGACCATGAAAAGAGGGTCCTGCTTATTCAGTTCGTCAGGTAGTGTGCTGCGGGTGTTCATTTCTTCAGTGTACATGTTCTGATAATCTGTGATCTGATGCAAGCCCTGCCTCATGTGCTGGGTATCAGTGGTTGTGTAGAGACCCTTCAGCTTCTGTCAGTATTGTCTTTCGGCCTCTTTGATTGACCTACATACAATACATCTGGCATTCTTGTAGTCATTAGCATTATGTGACCAATGCAGTGAAGCAGGCATGCCGCTCAGGCTGAACCTTACAGTTTCCATGGCTTTTGGTTTGGGTAAATCTGAATTTACCATTTATCTGGATGGTTTTGGAGGACACCATATTTTCAGTGCAAGTACTGATGTAGCAGGTCACCATTGTAGCATATAATCCTTCAGATCAACAGTACTGTCCTCTTGCAAAGCAGTGCTTTTAAATACCTCCCAAGCAGTCCTGAGGCAGTTGGTGAGATTCCTCAGTCCATAGCTTCATGGTTCTTCTTATGGGAGGGGGAGGGGGGGGCGGTTAATTGAGGGTCTGTCTATATGCTGGATACAGGAACAGGGTTATGTACAGCTGTGTTCAAAATTATTCAACCCCCAATGCTGTAAAGGGTTTTAGGGAATTCAGTGTACATTTGTAATTGTGTTCAGAATGAAATCTTACAAGGACTTTTTAAAGAACCAAATGCAACTGAAATGACATCAATTGTTTTTGTAATACAGTATTAAATGTTTTTTTTTGTGATTTCTTCATTGACACAATTAT